TACAACAACCCTGTGAGAGGAACACGTTCTGTAAAGGCACGGTGGTCACCTGTAGGCAGCTGAAGGAACGGGGCTCAATAGTTGGGATATTAACCTGCTTTTTCTGGTCTTGAATTAGAATGAATAGCCAAACGTGTCACCCACAGTTGTCTTCCGGTGGGGAGAGAAACATAGGTTTGAGGCAGGTGTTTCTTTGTACATTCTTTTTATGAAACAATCTCAGATGCCTGTTCCATCGCTATTAAGATGACCCAGGCTAGACACAATGATTTTGCTCTTTTCCGGTGAGCAGAGAAACTGAAACTCAACTTTTCTTCATTCTGTATTGCTGGCGTTTCCACTGACAGCATCTGATTTTCATAACATCATGAAATCCCTCTGGCCACAAAGGCCAGAGGCAAAAGCACTGCCAGTACCTGAGCATGAGTTGCTACAGTTCACTTCCATGTCCCTAAAAACAACCACGCCCCTTTTCACCACTTTTCTCGGATGAAAGGCAGGCATTCTCATCTGCCCCCCACTTTTTCACTTCCTTAAAAGAGAGCTCTGTATCTAGCTTGAGGCTGACTGCGACTTTAACTTCACCACCACCACCAAAAACAATCATGTACTTGTGGGCAGTCAGAATTTATGGCTGTAGAAAACTGTGAGGCACACCTCAGATCACAGTGTGTCCAACCCTTAGGAACACCAGTGCATTCCCAGTCCCTCCCTTGAATCTATTTTCAAGAAGTTTCAGCAGCAATGGAAAGTAAAATCAGTTCCTTACTTTACAGCTGTCTGTACATGCTGTTACTTCCACCACTTCTGAGACTCCGGCTGGAACAAAGGATCTTTGCTCAGTGTCCTTGGTCATGAAAATAGTGCTTGAGCATAATTTCACTCAAATCTTCCCGAACAAGCTGCCTCGCAACTCATAATGCCCTGCAGGGCAAATGAGGGAGCATCAACTCCATGCTTGCTTCTGCTCACAGCAACTCAGGCATGACAGGGGTACACACCCTCGGGGTGGGAAACAAAATGAGGATGACAACTGTTGTGTAGGTTTGAGTGGAGTTTATTTAGCAGCTGGCAGCTGGCCTGGAGTAGTGGGTGAAGATGTGATGCATTGCAGCTCTAAATTCAGCAGGCAAGTAGCACTGCAGGCGTGTGTTTTGCTCTCTCTCTCTGTGGTTCCGCAGCCATAATCCCAGGATTCCTGTGCTTTCCACACCAACATGAACACTGCTGCCTCTTCCAAGGCCTTGCTCAAAGCACTAAGCCTGTGTCAGCACCACAGGAAGGACACAGTGCCCTGGGACCCATCCTAGGGCAGTGCCTGCCCAGCCACCCTCCCCAGCACAAGGTCCCTTAGGAGACAAACAGGTCAGAATGTCACAGTGCCCTAATTGCATAGCTGGTGTATGAGGTTCCCAGCACCAACTTTCTCCAGCAATTTCCACCTTTTTTCATTTTTCTAACACTGCCTTGAGATATGTTTTATCAAACGAAACTTACACCCTGAATACAGCCCTAATATTTCCATGCCCTAAGCTGTGATAAATCAACAAATTTGTTCAGTGGCAGGAGGCTCAGAGATGGGCATAGGCAATGCAGTCATGTTGCTTGGGGAAGAATAGGAGGAGCCACCACAGCTGTTCTAAAGAAAGCTGAATTTACCTCAATGGAAAAGGGAGGGTGATTTTTGTTTTAGATTAATTGCTGTATCAGTTAAGTGATCAACAGCTTGTGTTAGTGGCCTAAGTTAATCAAAAGGTGTGAATGTGTTCCTGAGCCAGTCAGACCAGCATGGCATTCAGCCCAAAATAAAGCATAAAAATTGAGCAACCACAAAACAAACTTTGAAGAGAGCTACGGGCTTGAGCTGGCTTCAATGCACGTATTTCTTATCAGTTACTGCAGATACATAGCATCATGATGGCGAATGTATATAGAGCAGTAATGGCAATTTCATTCATACTGTGATCCAACTGGATGTTGCAACTGCTATATTGTGCTTGTATTGTAATTGCTCCTTCACTCTGCTAAATCAAAATCCCAGCTAACAGCAAATGTTTTCAAATAAGTAAATTTGGTAATAACACATTAAACCCTCCTCATGTGGAACATCTAAATGAGCTTGGTTAGAGTGTATAGGATGAGTGAAGTGCCAGGACTGCAAGGCAGCATGGTTAAGACACTCCTTGCCATGTGGTATGCATCTCCAGAGGGGCTTGGTTTACTCAAGATAACATGAATATCACTATAAGGCAGGACAATTTGAAATGGCCACCCCTTTTAGCATCAAGGGGACATAGGAAAGATGTGCTTAAGACTGTGTGCAGCCTGCCTACTAATGTAAGGCCTCAACTCCATGCAAGAAGAAACAGCAGCTGATATTTCCTTTCTGACCTTGATTGAGCTTAATTTTTAGTCACCTCAACAACACAGTGATAATAAGACACCAACAACCTTAAATGTATGAAAAAGTAGAACTCTAAATACATTTATTATTCAGTTACATTTGCTTTTCATTGCACAAATTTGGTTTTTATCCCCATGGTTTACAGTTTTTTACAAAGCTGTTAAGATTTTTAGAAACTGTTAGAATGATCACTTAAGTCTATTTAGGCACAGTTTATTAATGCATAACTGCACTTTCTCCACTTTTTTTCTCTGTGTGAAAGATTTACGGTTGCATTTAAGCTCCAAATTGAAATACATTTCACAGTCTACATGTTTATGGGCATAAAGAAGTTTTGATTAAATAGTCTCACATTATCAAATTTTGCCAGCAAAGTCTAAATGAAAGCAACTTCTTTTCTAAAAATGCTGAAATCAACACAATCCTAACACAAGAACCGTGGTAGTTGACCATTTTCTATGCTAGTCAGTCAGAGGGTAATGAAGAAACAGTCCTCAAGAGGATTTAAAAATCCACTGGGAAAACTACTTTAACTTGGAAATAATTTAAATAATTTATTCTGTATGAAAAATAAGAAAAAAATCAAAGAAAAAAAACAACAATGCAGCAAATGAAACACATATGGTGACAAGGATGTGTCGTATCCCCTGGAGTGCTGAGGCTGTGTCAATTACTCTCCTTTCTGACAATGACAGCTTGAAAACCAGAGTATCATATCCCTGGGAATACCCTCTGTGAAAATGGCTTTGAAGTTTGAAGCTGTCAGGCCTGTTTGACATGGCTGAAAAGCTGTAAGCTTCTCAATTTCTTATGTAGCTCTTCTCTTTGGTGAGAAAGCCTGACTGCTTCTGGTGTAGGATTCATGTATTTGGATTAAAGCTCTGTAACTTGGGTTGAGCTGCTTCTGCATGTAACCGCATACTGCAGTGTTCACAGGGCACAGGGAAGTCCATTCTAGAGGACCTGAAATGAGCTGAAGTTTGTTTCAACAACTTTGTTATTAGTATATCTTTTCTTTTTTCTTCTTACAAAAAGAGTAGTGTTAATTGACTGATGCTAAAGAATGACTCCTGAAGCACATGAACAAGTACCCCCTTTCTGTAATGCTGCAGAAGGAAACAACAGTATTTGTGACTTTTTAGCACCCTCATCTGTTGTTGCTATTGAGAAATGAATGGAATATTTTTGAAAGCGGGTGACATGTTTGCAGCAGGGAAAAAGGGATGCTGAAGTCTGTGTGATTCTCTTGAAAGTATTCAGTGCTCATGAGCTACCTGCTGGCTATTGCTTTCAGGGATAACCAGAGGGGCATCTCACATGAGCACAGGCAGTGCACAGCTTTTAGTCCCCTTGATAAGGAGTCTCGTCTGTGGAAATTTTTGAGTACAGCTATACTTAAATTTTTTTAGACTTTGAGAAAACATCAGACTTCAGGCAACTAGAAGGGGATAGTGTTCATTCCTGCATGTGTCACAACAAAGGTGCACAAATACAGGTTAAAAAGTGGTAGCTTGCTCATCTTGGGTTTAAGACATCTCCATAAGCTCTGCATTTGGGACATTCCCGCTCCGATGCTGCTGCTACACTCAGATCCCAGGGCAACAGACAATGTGCTCTCTTACCCCACACTGCAGGAACAAATGGGAAGACACCCCAGGCCCCGATGGGGCAGGCAGGTCTGTGGCTGAGAGCACACTTGCTCAAAGATCTGCAGTGTGTTGGGGATCCAACTCCCACCTCTTCCTTTTAACCCCTCTTGGCAAATGCCCCATTGCCAACACCACAGCTTTAAATGTTGTTCTCATTTGCATGATGACCACTGCAGCACCACAGGCCCCCAGCTGACTCCTGCTGGTGTTTGGCAGAAGGAGGGACAGAAGGCCATTGACCCAGATCCCTCCACAGCACCTGCAGCTTCTGTGGTGAGAACCAGCCCACACCACCACCCTTTTAACAGTAGAACCCTCAAACATCAACTCTTTGTCTATCACAAGAGTGCCAGCATGTGGCACCCCCAGTGCAGCCTCCCACTCAGAGCAGGACTGTCCCCAAGTCAGGGCAGCTACGGCTTTGCCTGGCCACTCAGTTTCAGGGCCAAACTGTGAGGCAAGAGTGGTGCGTTAGGATTCACTAGAGAGCTAGAGGTGTTTCTGAAGCTCAGTTGCAGAGTGGTCTCCCAGGGTAGGAGGACAGCAGCCACAGGAGCCGCACTGCTGAGTCCAGGAATGGGAAAAGAAGCTGGTAGCTGCCTTCAGTGTCCCATCTTGATGTCATGTGGAGGACAGCAAAACAGGTTGTTCCTAGAGCTTAACTCCAGGACCAGAAGAGCAAGATTTTCCAAAGTGTCTCACTAGCATTAACGCATGAGCTTCTGACATAAGCGAGAGGGTGAGCAAGGGGAGCCTTGAAGAAGCACAGCAAGTCCATCAATAACTGTCTGGTGATGATTAGGGAAATGTAACCACCACAAGCCAGGGAAGTCCATGCTGCCTGAAGCATCATTTTTTCCCCCAGCAAAAACGCTAAGAGGAGTCATCCACAGAAACAGGAGTCTGCTGCAGTTGCCAGGGGTGCCAAGACCTGGAGGCCAGCACCCTCAGTAACTGTCTGTGTCCATAGAGAAGTTTCCACCCTCCAGCTTCATCTGTTTAATTTGGACATCTCTCTGGTTTACCAGCTCACGTAGTCTACGGATTTCTTCCTGTTGTCGGTAAAACATCTGCAAAAGCTAGAGGAAAAGTCACATTTTACTTCCTTTACATTAAGGAAACGCAGACTTAACCTGTCAAATGTCACCAGTCCTGTCAAATCACTTCTGAGAAAAACCATCTAAGGAGGGAGACTTCAACCAACAGACTGAACATCAGCAGTGCTCCTGCTAAGAGCGTAGGCTGTAAATGCATGTGTTTCTCAGCACCATTTAGTGATGCTACGTCAGATTAATTCAATTGAAAAGACCAGAAAAAGTAACTTTCATACCACTGATAACTCCAAGAGAGCCTAGACACAGAGAGTATTTGGAGTCTAAATTTGTGGATCTGCCACATCTCCTACTCTGACCTTGGGCATGTACTTTTACTTCTGGTCTGTTCCTACTGATCATGCACCACTGCACAAGCTTTGGTTACTATACATGGAGGGGTCTGGCTGTCACTGAAGTCAAATCATGGAGCTGCCAGGACCTTTTCTGGAGCCATTCCCAGAAGCAGGTAGTGACCAAAAGCCAGCCTCCGTGGCACTGCACTGCCAAGTTGTTCCCCAGCAGTGAGCTCCAAGGCAGGAGCAGAGCCAGCCCCTTTCCCATGTCAGGGTCTACAATACAGCTATGTGCTTAAGACTATATGGATGCACCCTGGGGCAAAGGAGAAGGATACACTCACTCCTTCCACAGATATCCCTGATGCCTCACCAGGCCCTCTGAATGCAGCTTTTATAGAAGGTTTACATTGCATATAATCCCTTCTCTTCTACAGAACCTGGAGGTCACAAGCACCTCCATGTCCCCAGCTGATACCAGGCAGGTCAGTGCACAAGAATGCCTAAGAAGTAGGAATACTGATTGCTCCCGCCTTTCCAGATGCCCAAAGCTGGGGTGCTGCTGGGCCACATTTCTGCTTCAGCTCTGCAGCCAGCACATGCAGAGCTTCTGTTCCCACAAAGAACTTGCACTGGCCCAGGTCTGCAAAATAAACCCTCCCCAGATTCTGTCACCTTGTGAATGGCATCCTTTTGCTACCTGAGTTTGGGCTTCCACCCACAGTCCCAACACTTCACCCCAGAAATTCACACCTCATTTTCTGTTCTGGGTGGTGGACACTCAAATACATCAAAGCTACTGGAGAGGCACATTTGCGCATTTTTTGGCAATTTCTCCTCCACTCTGAGAAGTTTTCTTCTATGTTGAATCTCACTTCCCTCCTGCATGTCCTCCAGCGGCATCTTTCCTCCCCAACCCTGGTGCTGCCTCAGGTCAGCAGTCGTCACAAGTGGCTCTGGCTCAGGAAACTTTGGTAAGGAATTCACAGCTCCAGAGCCTGGTCTCAAGGATACCAAGAGAGGTCCTAAGGGAGGAGGCAGGTGACAGGTTAGCACTTACGAACCACACTCAGAAATCAGCTGTAAGCAATTCACTCAAACAGCCAGCAGAGATAAATATGTAGAGTGGAGCAGCTTCCAGAGTTCACAGTGGTGAAGATTTTAGCCACCAAATTATTTTAGCTCACAGACATATCTGTTATGTCTCTCCTTTTCCTCCCCCTCCTCCTTCCCTGGCAGTTAACATGCCAGGGAGCCAGTAGCAGTTTACCCAAGCCCTGGAGAGCTGAAGGGCTGGGGAGTTCTCCATGTGCTGACCTCTGTTAACTCCATTCAGCCACTCTTGTGCTGTCAGTGCTGGCTGGGCTGCTGTGGTCAAGGGGTAGATGTCTTCCTGGTATGACTCCGACTGCAAGCAAACAAAAGTCCAGAGTCACCATGTCAGTGAGGCTTTGGCTTAGAGGGACTGTCCTGGATTATGGTGGAGAAAGAAGTTTATTCCACCTCAGCATAGGATGTGTCATTAGCATTCATCGGCTTGGACATAAAACTTCTCATCTGCCCTGAGCCTCTCTCCTCCTCACCCCAACTCAGAATTGAATCTGAAGGTCTATTTTAATTCCTGCCAGTAAGGTCTTTACACATGCAGACAACAGACTGGGGGAGGTTGGTGACACACTCTAACCCAACTCTCACGAGCTCAGCATTCCTGAGGATGAAGTGGATATGAAGGATAGACAGAAATCACAAATTATCAGCTGATCACCAGCTGACAGAAACTGGCCAAGAAGGTGACATTGGCAGAACATGCCTGATTGGTCATTGCAATGAGCATAAGCTCTGCTGCCTGTTTGAATTCAAGACACTCATACCTTCCAGTGTTTCTGGAAGTACAGGGCACACGCTGACACTTCTGATGTACATTTTCAATGTACCTTAGCACACAGAGTCACATGGGAGCTACCTTAGCTACCTACAGATTCATAAACTGGCTCTTGCTCTAGCTGCAACAGCTCTGAGACTTATCTCTCATCACTGCAATGGGTCATATCTTACATGCTGCGGCATACTGCCGAACAACTGCACCCACTGGGTAGAGACCTGGGAACCCATTGTTCCCTTTTTCCTGGGGAGATTCTTCTTTCTTTCACAAGAAGATTTTCATTTAACTCAACTATGCCCCTAACTCCTCTCTCTTTTGTCATTATGGCAAACAGAGAGACTTAACTCCTGAGTTACCCAGCCAGGGTTTGTTGGCACGGCTGCCCCACAAACTGACCAGCTTTGTCCCTCAGTCCAGGAGAGAGAAAGTCTTTGTTATACCTACGTTACTGCCCCTGAGAGCCACAGAGAAGGGGTACTGCCCTCTTTTTTACTGATATTCGTCCCAGACATGAACATGACCTGAGGTTAACTTACCCGTCGAGGCACAATCATGGAGATGGGCTCAATCAGGCTTTTAGTTGGTATTAGTTTGTAGAAACGGAAGATTTCACAAGCTGACACTTCAAGCCCTCTCTTTGGCATCATTCCTGGTAGGATAGCATGAAACAAACAGGATATAAATCTCCCTAGGAAAGTTAATGTCAACCACATTGGAACAGAGTCACTGAACAACAAAAGGAGTCACAGCATCAGCTACACAGTGGTGAGGTTTGAAGTTTGCACTCAAAACTGGCTCAGTGGCACAAATGACAAGACTAAGTAATTCTGGTTTCTGTCAGACCATGAAGTTACACAAAGGGTCTGTGTTTATCATGCTAAGCCTCCTGTTCCTTCTTCATTCTCATGAGCTGCAAATTGAGTGAACAGGACTGAGCAGAACTGGCAGGTGATGCCACAGGATTTGACTATCAGGATCAACAGAAAGGGATTTCAGGACACCTGAACACACTAGAAGAGCTACACAGGTCAGGCTGAAAGCCCTTGCAGCCCAGTAGCCTTCCCCCAACACTGTCTCAAAGCCAAATGGAGTAGGAGCAGGGTGTGAACATCTGCTCTGTCAGAAAGCAACATTTGTCTTTCAGGGACTGGCTAAGCTACTCAAAGTATCTGGTAACCTCAGTGGATTTCTCTCCCATAAGCTTATAAAGTCCAAACCCTACAAAGACATATCCATGTCAATTCACTTAAGAAAAGGGATTGTCTCTCCTTTAGACCTTGCTTCATTGTGTCCTATAGAAGCTTTGTTTTCTACTCATACCAAATTACTTCATTAAACAGTAAATTCTACATGAAGGACCGTTAATCCTTACATTATGCATTCATCTAAATGTGAATCTAAATTCAATTCTTCTGCATCTACATTGTATTATGTTTTGGCAATACTGGGAGATAAGACTTAGTGAAATGACCTTAGCAGTATGTTTCATCAGCAGAACAGATCAGGTTAGGGAAGTAAATTTGATTCACTCAGGCCCTTTAAAAACACTTGTGCACTTCCTTTTCAGTGAACAATTTTTAAGAAGTCTATGACAACCAAAAATCAGGACGCTATATACTGGAAGGATTATAAAAGCTGAGTAACAGACAGATATTCCCATTAAGTTTTAAATAATTTATTCCTTTCCAATAACAGGGTTTTTTTTGAAGGAGACCTTCAGGCACAAAATACCTGTAACAGTGTCCTGGAAGAATGGGAGTGTCTGCAAGTAGTGAGGAGGGGTGGCAAATGGTCCTAAAAACATATCAGTTTATAGAGGAATACAGCTTACAGGCTAGACTGGAGAAGGTTCAAGAAAAGAATATCAATAGGGTATGAGAGCTGAAAGCCAAATTGTGTAGATTGAATGAGCTAAACAATGGATAGTATGCGGACAGGTTAATAAGCAAGGGTCTCCAATGGAGGAGAGGTGACCTTATCACAGCAAGTCTGTCTCTAAGTAGGAAATGACAGCAAAGGAGAAGATAGGCAAGTGGTAAGAGCAAAGGCATTAAGATGTGGACCACTCATTACCAGTGAAGCTCCAGAGTGGAAACAGTGTCAACAGAGCCCAATGCCAGAAATCTTGGAGCAGATTCACAATGGGCAAGGAGCATCCTCCACCTTTAAATCCAGACTATCCTCCCTTCCACCTTGACTAGGTGCAGCAGTGACTGGTAAAGTTGCCTGGCCCATGCTCTGTTGGTCAGGAGGGACCCCTCCAACCTGTGCCCCTGTAATACCACCTGTGATACAAAGGTAAACTGGGTCAAGCTGACTGTTGTACATCTGTAAACCTGAGTAGAGACTCAAATCTCTATTCTAAATAATATTTTGGATAGTCCTGGACTCTAGCAGCCTTGAAAACAAAAAAGCCACCATCCTCTTGTAACACACGACATACACTGTCACTCACCCATTCCTTTCTGTGGTAAATGAGAACGATATTCCATCAGGTAGTACAGGTATGGTTTCTCAGGGCTTATCTCATAGTACCGTATATTTCCATCACCCTAAAGGCAAAGAAAATTAATATAAGCCAAGCTCTGTTGTTTAGTATGAGGATCTGAGAAGATTGCCTGGCCCCAGAACCCAGGCAGAGTCAAGAATGAACTAAGTATTAACACCCAGATTCCTATGTGGGAAGGTTGGGGCTCTGCAGTGTGCCTCCCCAGCATTTGCTGAATGGAAAGCACTTACCTTTCCCACCACATAAAGCATGTGTGTGTCTGAGTCATAGAAGGGAAACAGGATTCCTGAGGCGCCATCCAGATCCTCCTCCAGTAAAGGCACAGAAAGGTCATCCTGGGCAGGACACGGGAAAAACAGAGAGCTTCAATCACCGGCCAATCACCTTGAGTCAGGGACGCCTCACCTGAGCCCCACCTGACAGTGGCACATAAGTACAGCTCTATAATGACCCTAGGTCATGGCCAGCTGTCCTGAGCAGAGGGCAGGCACATACTTCTCCAAAGCTCTGTGGGTGGGAAGTGGGCGCTCTGTCCCAGGCTCTCGATTGAGTGCAGCACCTCAGGACATCAGTTCCATGACACTGATACAAAGGGTGACAGCACAACGACGAAGAGGTAAAAGACTGTGTTACAAAGTAGTTAACAGAAGGATGGAGTGAAATGCTAACAAAGGAAAAGCATCTCACTGTATAAGAGAGGGCCAGAAGACAGCAAGGTTTTGTAGGGCTAGCAGGTATCATGATAGGAGATCATGGCTTAGAAGTGACAAGTACTACCTCAATACTCTAATGTCAAAAATTATCAGAAATCAAAAACACCCCACTTTTTTTTTTCCTCCATTGAGGGCTTCACCTGAGCAGGCTATGTCTAGAGCTCATTTCTGTTTCCAGTACCAGTTTGCCAGTAAGACCAGTAAGAGCTGCTTTTAAGTCAGAGCTGCAGTGACCACCCAAAGGTCCTTTGAATGATTTCTACCTGTAGCAGGCACAGCATTTTCTTTGTTCTGGTGGATTTCTATGCTGAAAGTTTTGAGAGCTTCTTCAGAAACTCATACTCAATTAACAGTGTCATAGCAGTAAGGACTATCACCAACTAAGAATTCAATAGATCACTTTTGAATTGTTGTTATAAACTGATTCTTGGGTATTTGGCAGGTGGAAAAAGTTAATGTGACAGCAAAAGAGAGAAAAATGAAGCTGGTGTGGTTAAGATTGCTGGTCCAACTCACTTGATCCCATAATGCAATTTGCCTATTATTCCACCGAGATGTTCCAGTAGAGATCAGTTTCTTCATGTTTCCAAGGAACAAGACTTTATTGGCTTTGTGCGAGTTGTGGCTGGTTTCCTATAGGAACAGAAAGGACACAGTGTGAGGAAGAGACAGCACCTGTTGCACAGCTGCATTTCATGTTACGTGAGACCTCTGATTCAGTAAATGATCTGGAACCTTGCTCAGATTTGCTCAGCCTGGCTAAGCTACAGTGAGCAAGATTTCATGGTCATCTGAGAAAGGTGGCCTAAGCTCTTCAGGGCAATCCCCAAAAGCTCAATCAATCTAACTGTTTAATTACATATTTGCAAGAGGGAAATCTTAGTTGCCAGCAGGACTTTGTGTGCCCAAATCTGTGCAGATACCTAGGAATAAGTCAGCTTCACCTTGCCAACAGATAAAAAATCCAGGCAACAAGAACTACCCTGGCAATGGGACAAATGTACACTTGCACTCTCCTGTCCACCTGATCTCTAAAAGTCCTCTCTGTGGCATTCCACAAAGGACTTCATGAGGGAGCTATGAAAACAGTGCCCTTCAAAAGGAGATTCAGGGAGCATGGTACTAAGATGGGGAAAATATGTGTTCAACAATGACAGCAAGTGTTCCATGAAAAGTAGAAGGCAATAGCACCATCTGGTGTGTTGGTCAACGGAAGGCACAGACAGGTCTTCTTTAATGGCAGTGAATCTACACAGAAGAAACACTCCAAGGGGTGGGATCAGCTGGACCACAAACCTCTGAACCCAACCTACCTGTAGGACTGTTCCTGCACGAGGGTCTATCAGACGTATCTTTCTGTCCCTGCAGGCTGTGGCAAGGAGACTGCCATCTGTGTTGAATGACATGGAAAGGACCACATCTCTGTGAGCACTGACGATCTTCACTGGGTTTGAGATGACAGCCTTTGTGGTGTCAAGGTTCCAGATCATTATCTGGAGAAATAAAAGAAAATCAGCCCTTTGCTGCATGACCAGCTGGGGGACTTTGTGTACCCTATTCACCTCGTCTCTGCATGCGTAGGTCTTGCCATAAGTGGTTGTTCTCCAGCATTTAAAATATTCCCTGGTACTTACAGTAACATATCAGGGATACACTGCTCAATTTCCTTTCTTTTTCCTTTACAATCACATTTTATACATGAAAGTGGCCAGCATCAGTGCAGGTATTTGCACTAGCACAAGAATGAAGCCAAACAGAAAAACAAACAAAACTGCATGGCATTGCATATTGTATCTAATCCAGTAAAGGAGAAGGGCAGAGTAGACTGAAGTTCATCAGAAGACTGGAAAATTAGCAAGTCCTTCTGAACTGGTAGCAATGTCCTTTTGCCCTTGGGGCCACCATGGAATTTCCCCCAAGGAAGGCTTCTGAACTCTTTAGCATTAATTTACAACTTGAAATTAAAACAGTTTTCAAAACACCGTGACAAACAGGGTGCTCCAGGAAGAGAGCTGCACACATAGAACAGACCCACCTTGTAATCATACCCAGAGCTGAAGAGGATGTTATTAGCAGTGGGATGCCATTCAATGAGACCAACTCTTCGAACATGCCCAAGAAGTTCCTTCTTTGGACTGGTAATGGTTTGTGTTAGCAAGGGCTTGGGGATCTCCCAGATTTTCACCTGAATGGCACAGGATGGATATTTGTGAGATTCCTGAGTAAGAAGCTGATTTGGAACTTACCAATAACTATTATTCCCTTGGTATTATTATGCTCTTGATAGTTAATGGGAATGCTCCTGGCTTTACTGAATGCCAGTCATTTAAATCAGTATCTTCACTTTTCTGAGGGCCTGAGGAATCCTCTTTAGCCTCTATCTTTAGCCAGCAGGTCTACCAGTTTGTTTTAACTTGGTAATCCAACATTCACACCTGGCCAAGCTGTCAACACAATTACAAAAAGTTATTTCCAAGGGGAAAAAGTAAATGACAGATCTTGAAGACTTTGCCTCATAACAAACTTCGGGCAAAAGCAAGCAAACCTGAAACAAACTTCAGCAAAGAGTCACAGAAAATATTATAGCAGTGATTAGTCCAAGCAGTCATCTCCTCAACAGGATGTAAGAGAACTAGTAAGAGAACTGAGAACTCCCCTGGTCAGATGACAGCTATAGTACTGTTTGTCCCCTAGAAACTGCACCAGTGCTGAACACTCTGGAAATGACGCAGCCATTTGTCAAACTACACAGAGCCCACAGAGGTGGGCAAAGTACACAGAAGCCCACAGAGCAGATGTCCTAGAGAGAGAGACTGCGAAGCACTGCACTAAAGTTTGTTCAACACTGGGAGTGTGGTGTCTCATAATAACAGGTCTACCTGCAGCCCTGGGTTCTACAGGGATGCTGCATGAAGACAAAAATCCTCTGTCCTCCTGGAATGGAAGAAGAAATAGAAGAAACCTGCAAATGGGGCTTGACCTATGCAGGTATATTGAAAGTGTCCTTCCCTCACTAACCCTAGAAGCACAAGTATTTAGGATGCTAACAGATCATTAACCCTTTGGCTAATGAAAATTACTATGCTTGTCATATTTTATCTAGACTTAGCCTGAAGCAAAAGGGTAATGCTCTTTGAGGCAGATACATCATGGAAGTTAGCCACATCTGCCCAAGTCTCTCATTGTTTGGCTAATGAGGATCAGTCCTTTCTAAGACAAAGAAGGAGAGGTACAAATCCTGGGACTTGCTGGGAAAGGTCATGAGCATTCTTCTCAGCTGAGGAATCAAGCTCATCAGAAACCTAAGGACTGTGGAGTCCAGTAGCCTCCAAACAAAATTCCAGAGTGGTAAGAGAAAGCATCACACTTTACAGCTTCAATAGCTGAGAGAGTAAGAATGGGAAAAATAGATTGTGTTCATATTGCAAACTGCCTAGAATGAACCATTCACCCTGCATGCTATTAAATGGTTTGTGTTAAAAGCAGTGAAAAGCCCCTGGCTGGTATTTCAGGATGTATTAAATGGCAGAAATTGCCTATGCTTAGTGAGCAGAAGTGGGTCTTGGAGCCAGCCCTTCCAGGTCAAGCAGGAACAATTCACAAGCCATTTACCCCACTGCATCTTGAAGAAAACCTGACAAAGCAAAGTAAAAGGCACAGAATTGCCTCTCTAACCACACAGGAGATCTTCAGCAAGCTGAATTCATACATTCCTGACAATCTGCCAAAAGGAACAGAAGGGGTAAGAGGATAAGCCCCTCTGCCCATGCTGTTCAAACTCAGTCCCTGGCCACTTGCACTGGCATCAGTCCTAAGCCTGCCTGAAGCAGCTCTGGGAACTGTAAAGGGCAATGGGTGTTCACAGAGACTATCCATCCCCTCCCATAACCAAAATTACCACTCTACAATCTTCAGCTACACACTGCAAAAGATAGCTGAGGTACCACCAAGGCAAGCTCCAGAAAGGCTGACTAATGGCCAATAAACCTCTGAGGAATGTGGGTAATGGGAAATTTCCACTATCTTCACAGAAGCTTGTGGCCATCCTCAAAAGTTCCAGGGAGACCCAGTCCAGTAAGAACAATCAGAAGGATCCTTGCACACAAGCCAGAACAGTGGCTTATGCTAATGCTTAGAAATGGTGCAGAGCAGCACACCTTTAACAACAAAATGCAAGGAGGCTTGGGCTCTAATGTCAAGCCCAGTGGAAGTGGTTGACACCTCTGGGACCCCAAAAACTTCCTTCGACTTCTTTCAGGACAGTGAAAGTGTTTCTGTGGAAATGTTTCAACAGCATGCCCAATCTGAGCTCTCTAGTGCAAGCCAGCACAAGTAAGACAGATGTTGACACCATACCTGTCAGTGATGTGTGAATCCAACAGCAGCCACTGAGATGAAAAGGGAATGGGAACAAAACTGACGAGGGGCAGGATGAAAAGAATTTGTTCAGTTTTTGGCTGCCCTTCAACTTCATTGCAGAAAGGCACAGAGAAGATGGAGCCAGAGTCTTTGGAGGTTCACAGGGAGAGCACCAAAGGCAATGGACACAAATGGCAATATGAGCACTCCCTGGGGATCAGAGGAGCCCTATTTTGCCTAGAAGGGTACTCAACCCCTGGAAGAAGGGACCAATGAGGCCACAGGATCTGAAGCCTTGGAGATCTTGCCAACTCATCTGGACAAGGCTTAAAACAACCTGATTCAACTGACCTGCTTTGAGCAGAGTTTGAACTAAATGACCTCTACAAGTCTAGCTATTGGGTCTCAGGCAAACCAGTCACACTAAGAAACATAGTCTGCTGTCCTCAGTACCTAGCAGGGAAGGAAGAGGTATCCCTACACTATGTCCTTGTATAGGGAACCCCTAATGTCCTGGTGCCAGGATGATGATGGGAAGGTAGTACCAAATCAGAAAGTATATTCACAAACAGCCAAACTTCTTAGAACAACTTTTGTTGATGAGATCGGTGACAAGCTTAGTATTTTCATTCTTTAGCCTAGGGAATGATCCAGTGCCAAGTTTCACTAGAAATTGGAAAAGAAAGCTGACAGGGAGCAGCATTTCTGCATAGACTCCAGAGTCCTGGTAGACAATAGGATAAATATGACCCAGCAGCATGCCCTGGCAGGGATGAAAGCTAGCAACATCCTGGCCTGGTACAAGAGGAAGACAGCCATTAGATCAAGGGAAGCAATTTTTTCCTTTACTCAGCAATCACTAAACAGCAGCTGGAATACTGCATCCAGTTTTGCACTATCCCAGTGCAATAAGGATGCTGATAAACTTAAGTGAGTCCAGTGGAGGCCACCAGGATGCTCAGGAGGCTGCAGCACTTGTCCTGTGAGGAGAAGCTGAGGGAGATGGGCTTGCTCAGCCTGGAGAAGACATAGCTTCATGGCAAACTGATAGAAGCCTTCAACACTTACAAGACTACCAAGAAATTAGAAGCAGGCTCTGTCTGGAAGTGCAGGGTGGCAGGACAGGATACAGCGGTCACTAACTTCACTGAGAAGGTTCTGACTGCATGTAAGGAAAAATATTTCTCCATGGGAGCAGTGAAGAACAGGAACAGGTCGCCCAGACAGGTGGTGAAATCTCCACCCTTGGGTGATCTCCTGTGCTCAACAGACCAGCACATGATGCCACCAAAGCTCCTTCAGAATGAATAGTTCTGTGATTCTGTAACTGCAGCAGGAAGTTTTGAAGCTTGTGCTCATTCCTCATCTGAAGATGAAAAGAGAGGTCATGGTGGTGGCTTCCTACCACAGGTCCTTTCTGGAACAGTATGAAAACTTAGAAGACAGGTTGGAAGATAAAATAAAACCCTCACAAGGCATCCAGGAAATCTAAAGCCTTAAAAAAAAAAAAAATAAAAAAATAAAAAGACAAGAATATCTGAAGAAGCAAAAGCAAGTCACTACATGAAGGACAATTAAAAGAGCCTAGATTTCTAATTCAAGAGCAATTTTTGGCAGATCTGAAATGGCAGAGGATGTTCACCAAGCCAGGGCTGGAGGAACTGACAAGGAAAACCTCCCTGATGCTGTGTGGTAGAGGGTGAATATACCCAGTGGGAGAAAACACATGTGGGGTATCTGAAAAAAGGGACAGTAGTTAGTCAGATGGCCCTGTCACAGAAGTCAACATCACACTTCTGACAGGACATGGAAAATAACCTTTCATGGTCAATTAGATATGGGCTAAATTGTCCCTTACAAACATTAATTGAATCTTTCAGTTAGTAGTCTTGCACTTACACTGGAGAAAATATGCGACTGCATCTTAATTATACTAATTCCAGGCAAAGCAGTTATTGCAGAATGGTATGATGCAGATTCCTCAGCTACTCCATGAGTGATCCAGCAGGACTTTATAGAGTAACTGAGTAGAGAAACAAACTCAGACTTGCTCTGCAGCAAATTAATCTGGAATAGCTGTTCCAGATTATGTTGTGTTGAAGCTTTTGTTTGAAATCAAAGAAAGACTTTCATAGCGATTCAAATTGAATAATAATTCCATTTTATATTAAGATTCTTGTTTTCTCATGCAAATACACACAAAAAGACGTAAGTCCCCCTAAAACAGTACACACTAATTCTGGTATATCATCTGGAAGGTCTGATCTCGAAAGAAAGAAAGGATCTACTCTTATCTGACTCTTTTTTTTATAGAAGCATAACATATGCTTTCACATCTCAGCCATCAGCCTTTTGGTTTCTTTTTTTATTTCTGTCCCCCAAAACGATATTAGCCAGGTAATAACACCTTGTACAAGCTGGTAAACTTACTGTGGCATCTTCCGAACATGAAGCTATTACAAAGTCATTGAATGGGTTCCACTTGATGTCCAGAACATTCCCTCTGTGCCCCCATATTCTGGGATAATGTGGGTCAAGCTTGCCTGTCTGGAAAACAGAAATATCATCAAACCTAAGGTGAGCCATGTAATTACAGGACATTTTCAATCAAAGAAGATCCAAGCCAGCTCCAGCAAGAAACCTCTTTCTCTGTGTTATGCTCCAAATACCCTGGGTGGTCCCTGCCTGTTGAGAATGGGGGTTTGCTATCCTTGCTAGGCAAGTCTTGATGATACCACTGAAAAGAAAGGAGTGTTCAGGCCTTCCTAATTGCACACTGCTATGAAGAAATCTGTACCTGTAGCAGTCAAGACTGCTGAAGTTAGAAGATAGTATTTGATTCAGGCACCAAAATAAAACTTTAAGGCAAAACACTTGTGAGTTAAGGTCTCCATATTTTTTAAAGATTCTGGGGGGGAGGGGGATGACACCATAAAATCTCTTATCTCTTTCAGAAGACATTTCTTATAAGCAGGGAAAAAGTTCAGCTTTTATTCTTTAGCCTCATCAGCTAGCATTTATTTTATTTTTCAAGCAAAAAGACATTTGTGACACGAATTAAAAATGCAGTTTTTCTTTCAACAACTTTGTTTCTCCCTGATGGTGTTCAAGTCCAGCCATTCACCAGATTGAATTAGATTCCAGACTCTCCAAGAAAACTCCAAATTTGGGTGATAACTTCACTACTGAAAATCGTGCGCAGTGCACGAAGGCGTACACAGAGTCTGATGCCGCATGGGGGCAGTCTTGCATCAGGAAAACCCATACTGCAGGGGCAGTCTCTGCTACCAAGCCAAGTCGATGTACTACGTGCTAGGAAGGGTGCTGGGGATTTTGTTGACGTTGGAGCAGCACTTGCTTCTCCCTATCAGGAGCAGGAGAAGTATGGACACACCTTCTATCCCAGACATCTGTCCAAAAGGAAAGGTCAGACACCTAAAGAGAGATGCAGTGGCAAGCTGGTGCTGATTACTGCTTTACTTTTATCCCACCTCGAAGAATTATAAACCAAAATGAATGCAAATGCATGCTGTCATGGAAAGGAGACACTTCCGTTGGTGGTGTCCCTGCTCCTCTCCAGGGGTGGGCCTTAAAAGCGTACAGCAGAGGGGAATCCGTGCTGGCCCTAACCTGGATGTGGCCCAAATGTCATTTTCCCAGCCTTTAAAATGCGTATGGTTCTGAATGCAGAACAGGACACAACATGTAACTATTCTGGCCTCGCTGGAAAGTTTATCACATAGAAGGGGACTAACCTGCTTTAAACCGAACACCCAGAGGGCTTTGAAATGTAAAAGACCATGCTTTTTTAGGCTACAGTCTAAAACAATTCCCTTTTATAAGTGACAATGCAAAGCAACTTGGGAAGGCAGAAGAGAGATAAAAGGCCTTTAATAAGCAGCGTTCCCCTGCCCACAGCGTCCTTTTGTAGGCTTCAGGGCTTGGTTTCAAGTTGGCAACTCAATGGGCTGGGCAGCCAGCTCCACAAGGATCCCTTGATCCCTATGGGAAATTTGTCCCCTCCCAGAGCTGGCTGACTGTCTGTTCCCCATTCCATTTGGGACACTCCCAGGCTGCCCTGACCCTGCTCTCTGCCTGTCCCATCCTGCAAGGCTCTCCTACTACCATGTCCTCAGCAGGCTCAACTGGCCCTGGAAAAGGAGCCCTTGCCCTTCCAGCCACCAGCCCCAGTGCAGCCTTGCAGGCATGGGACAGAGCAGGACGTCGCAACACATGAACCCCCCAGGCTACCAACAAACACATATGACTGGTAGAGCTGCTGGTCTCAGATGCCCATCTGCACATGGAACTGAAGCTCCTCACATGCTGGGGGAAATTTCATTTCAAAAGCTATTTCAGTAAACTAATGTGTTGGTACTCATGCAGAGGTACCCGACTTCTACAGAGATTTGCAGGGATTGAAAATTAGTAATTTTTCAACCTCTCACTTTCTAAATTCCCAGCATTTCTGAAAAGTAGCCAAACTCAAAGTTCCTTGACAAAAACACTTCTACTGGGACAGCCATTAATACTCTCCCAAGCAGCAGAGTTTGTACAGGGTAGATGTCCTCCCTTTCACAGCCAGTGCTGACACACTGAAAGACTGGAGATGGCAAAGACTTAGACACAAATATCTCCTTGTGTCTTGGGATTTTGTTCTCATTTTGCTATTCCTTTGCTTTATGTAGCAAAGGAAGAGACAGATGCACTCTCAATCAAGTCTGGTCATTGGATAAAGAAAAAGTCAGGCCTTTGCCTTTGAAAAGAAAGGCCACAAAACTGCTCTCTCAGTCAAGATCCCTTCTTGCTATGCAGTGCATGCACTTCCCAAACACATCTGTGTCAGACACCAATCTACACACAGGCCACACTGTAGGAAGGCAGTTCATCTCCCACTTACAGTCACCGAGCCCATGACTCCTTGGACTTGGAAGATTAACAAAGGCAGTCAGTCTGTTCAGCCACCTTCCTCCCCAGTAAGATGTGCTGCCATTCAATGGTGCATCTTCATGAGGACCTATCTGACACATCCTGCGACAGAAGACCATTCTCCAAGTGGAGGCAAATATTAACCTAATTCCTCTTCAGGCTGAATGCAAAGGCCTGCTGAAAGGAGAGTATCTATGGCAAAGAGCTGTCTCCCTATATAATCTCTGCTGCTCTCAACGCTCACTCACCCCCAGGCTCTCAGAGAGGAAGAACGGTGCAGCAGTCAAGAGTAGTATTTATGCAAAGACTGATGAGAAAGCTTGGTGCCCACAAGAAGCAGCACAACAAGCCAGCAAGGACTTAAACAGAGTAAGGTCGAGCCTGCATTTGAGCACATCCTAAAGCAGGCAGTCTCTCGAGTAGCATATGCAGAATGAACTCGAAAAAGCTTTGGAGGGACAAGAGCAGCTCCACAAGCAGGTTGTTCATCCACCCTGAAAGTGCAGCCTTCCCTGTCTCAGCTACCATCTCCTGCTTTGGCTAAATATGATGTCTTGGCTATTGCGCTTTTCATCCACACGGTGGCAAGCTTGTAACGCAGCTGCTCCCTGTGAATCCGGTCAAAAGTAACCACTATCAGCGCCTCATCATGAAAAGGCAATACAGTCCCAGGCACAGTCTCCAGAGCAGCTGCCTTTGGTTCCCTGCAGCTGGGTCCACAGTATGCTGTCTGCCATGGTCACCATCAGAAGAGATGGCAGCCACAAATACCACCATCAGGACCACAAGTCGAAAGATGCTGCTTTTCACTGGTGGCACTAGTTTGGAAGTGTATCACAAGAAAAAACAAGTGGTATCACAGCCCCCAGACTCGGAACTTCTTTCTGTGAGTGGCTGAGGCTGCTCTCCACACACAGCAAGGGCCAGGAACAGGTATTCAGGGAATGGCTGTATAAAGCGCGGCACATACAGGTATTTTTCCTGATCCAACACTAATGGTCAACCCTCAAGGGACCTGCATCAGAACCAACACAGTTCATAAAAAGCTCTGTAACTCCATCCTGTTTTACACCCCTTAATTCTTCTGGTCACATCAGCATCTGGAGCAGTGAGCTCCACATCTGAACTGCAGAAGCACATCTGCTGATACCAGTTTGCTCCCTGGTCTCCAGGATTCCCTTTACCACACAAATCAAGAGGAATTGCTCCTTATTCTTCTTCACCATCCTCATGACAGGTTTTATATATCTCACCTCTTTGTCTTTTTTCCCCAGACTGACTGAGGCCTAACCTACAAAGTCTTTCCTCACATGTTTTCATTGATGTATTTTAATTATCCTTTTCTGTATCTCCTAGTTCTACCAAGCCTTTGAAATAAGGCAGTTATTTCTGCAGGCAGTTATTTCAGATCTGGATGGAGTGTTAAGCACATGTTAAGAATGGAAGAATTACTCCTGAAGACTAGCCTAGAGAGCTCTAGAGATCTGAGAAGAGGTGAGAAGACACAGAAGTGACTAGTAAGCAGTGCAAGCACTCTTAGCTTGTTTTGACAACACTTTGTCCCACAGTCACCAGCTGCCTGCTTACAGATGCAGCTCTGTGATAAAGACAAATTCTTCAGCCTCAACAGATCATGGTTGAGGGGGCAGAAGTGACTCAGTCAAGAAAAACAAGGCAAGGGTTAATTTTAGAAGGACTGTCTCTGAACAGCACCTGCAGTGAAAGAGATGAATAAACAAAGTCTAGGAGGGCCAGGAACTGTGCTAAGTTCTTCAAGCATAGCCAGTTCACTTTCATCCTTAGCAAATATATATTGAAAAAGTGGTAATGCAATAACATCATCAATTAACTTTTAATTAAAGGCTGAACTTTTACCTTTCATCTGTTCTGTCCTGATTCCAGAGAGCTCATAATCTCATATTCAAGTTAATCCACATTAGTGCATGTCTAATTTTTTCTGAAGCAATAAACATCAGATGGCCTGCTTCTCCCTCTCATCCGAACCCTAAGTCATCAAAACCCATGAACATGGGATTTGTTTCTGAAAGGGAAGTTTCTCCAGCATCAATGCTTGAAGCTTGAGAGCTTCACTGCCCAATAACCATTTCTCCACTCTTTCACAAAGGAGGACGTAGAGCAAAACATACCATATTTTCTTTTTTCATACCTGAAAACATGCCACTAATGCAGCTTTCAGATTTTGCCCTCTGTGCCTCCTAATTGCTTTATATTTACAATTTCTCCTAGGAAACAAACATCTGGATAGCACAGTTCCTGCTCTTTATATGAGAAATGCAAATGAGATGTGAAATGAATGAAGGTGCTAAAAAACTGCAAGCAGCATTGTAAGACATAAAAGTATTCACATCCCAGGAATCACCTGCCAGCACACCTGGGGCCCCTTCTATCACTCTGCAATTTGGACAGCAGCATTAACTGAATATCCTCTTTGTGATTTAGCTCCCTAGAAAGCCTGGATCTCCTCCAGCCTCTCAGTGCTCTCTCAAAAGCCATCTTGCCCCAGGAGAGCTCACCTGGTGTATGGGAATGACAACGAAGGCCCCCCCACACGCACACTCAGTCACCACCGCAATGAAGTGGGGATTTACAGCACAGAACTGGTTGTCCTGGACATTGTGGGTGATGGGCACGCAGTCATAGCACTTCTCCTTACTGGCAGGTCTGCCGTACACGTGCCGGAACTTGGAGGTGCGGTGCTGCAGGTTCCACGACATCTGCAACGGGAGAAACACAACACTCCATGACATAAGGACCAAGCAAGGCTTGCAGACCCCCACTCCTCTCTCCTCAGCACAGGCTCACCCCTCCCCACCTGCACACCTTGCATCAACCCTGAGGCAGCAAGCAATAGCTGCATTTTCCTTTGCTGGTCTTCACTCTGGTGGCATGACCTGCGTCTGCACCCATTGCAGATGGGGTGATGGAGAGAGGAGAGCACAGGAGAGAGAAGACAGCTCTCCCCATTGCCCCATGCACAGCTGGGCTGTGCATGCAGTCCCTATCACTGGAGCAAGGGTACATGGCAGCAAGTTTAAGAAGAGATGAATCGTAGTAGCATAGAGCTCAGGAAGGATAAAAGATACAACATCTTAGGTGGGGAAAGCCTGAAAGATGGCAAGTGAAAAAGCCAGTCTGGATGCATGCTTCATTTAGCCCCGAGGTGGTTTAGGACCAAAAATAAGTCTAAATTTTGCTTACATGAAGGAAATAAAAAAAATAATAATAAAAGAGGAGGTTTGACAGATCGTAGGAATAGTTACAGTCACCTGCTGTTTTTTTCCCCCCACTAACAATGAATGACATTTTGCATGACTAGTTTATAACCGCACCACAGCCTTCTGACAGGCAGCATTTTAAATGGTGTTTAAATTAGATACATAAATCACGATAAATACAAGAACCCTTCCCACAGAGAGCACTGAAGCTTAACGGAACTCATGCAAGTGATTTCAAGTAGGAAACTACCAGTGTTGGGCAGAAAAGGCAATTCAGACTATTAACTTCTACTCTCTCCACAAGACCTAGACAGTGGGGTTGGTCCCACTGCCCAAAGGAAAAGCAATGCAGATCAGGCAAGAAGGTTATGAATAAAAGAGATCCCCACAGTCAGCTGGGAGTATGAGCAAGGACTGGGAGAGGGCTTGGTTTTGCCCCATATCAATCTCCTTAACATGCATTTGGTGAACACTGTTATCAGCGATGCTGGATCGGAATAGTCCGGTTTGAGAGGGGAATCCAACCAAGCAGCTTTTGAGTTACAGCAAGACTTGGAGCACACACTCATGTGGGTAAACGTTTAAAGGGAAGCATGTAATGGCAAGAAGTCAAGAGTGTCATCACCTGACAAGGGGTCTATGCAATTCCAAACCAAAATACCCTTGTTGTTGGCATGATTTTGCCTCCTCCTGCAATGACTGTTCGAGGTTAGGAAACTGTATTGCTCGATCGTGGGCTGTTGAACTGGAACTTTACAAGCACCCATCAACACAAAGATCCACAAGGCTCACGTCCCACATCACACTGGAAGATTTGAGCAGTGAATAGTGCTAGGACACAAGTCCTGTTTTATCTCCTCTTCCCAGAAGGAGCAGTGTGGCCTGAAGTGCCAGGACGTATCTGCAATGCAAAAGGGACAGGTGTCCCTTCTGAACACAGCCATGGTAAGACACATGGAGACACAAGTAGCAGCCCAGATAGAGAAGCTGGGAAGAGCTGGGCTGGGCAAAATATTTCTCTGCAGGGCTGTACTGAAGCAGCTCCCAAGTTTTGGAGGAACATAATGTTACTTGCTGTACCCCAGGCAGCGATAACAGGTCTTTCCTCTTTTATTCTCCACCCCTGCAAGACTGTCAGCTACTCAAAACAGCTTCCTCACAGAATGGAACAGCTTGCTGGCAGTGAGCAGAGATGGCCACTTGTGCCACCAGCTGCACTCCCCACCATTCTGTCTCAGAGGCAAGCCCACCTTGTATCCTCTCCCACCTTGGGTGAGTCCTGAAGCAGAGCAGAGCTCCCCTTCTCCATAAGGGCCTTTGAGCTCCTCAATGATCCCCACGCTCCACTTCAGCTAATTTCACATCAAACTAGTCTGTCCAAGCCACGCCACACTGACACATTTCCGTGTACACCTCACCCTTTCCATTCCCCACCCTCACCCACCACATCAATACTAGGAGGATGGTCCTCTCCCTGCTGGGGGCAGGGGCAGTGGGGGGCTGAGCATCGTCAAAGCTGACTCCATGGGCCACAGGGAGCTAGCTGCAAAATCCTCTCCAGAACAGGAGGCAGAGGCACCTCCATGGAGTCCCCCTTTTCCCCATCTTTCCACGGCAAGCAGTAGACCCTGGTGTACAAGTAAGTTCAGTTCTCCAAAAGCAGCTGAGGCTCCAGCTGAGCTTCCCACCTACCTCTCCCTACTAAAGGCCCCACTGCATTACAGCACCTTCTCACCAACCTTCTCCTGGCCTGGTCACACAGAATCCCACTTCAAGAGGAAAAGGGAGCTGGACAAGGAGATCCTGACAGTGGCAGGGCTACATCTGCTTCCCCTCTGCTCACAGTGCCAGGACCACCCTAGGGTGGTGGGATCTGCCAGTGAGCTCTGCTCAATGTTCCTTGCAGGGTCCTTCTTTCCCATTTTTAAACATTCACTTCCTTCTTCTGTGTTCAGGTTTTGCCAGTCACAATTACTTGATTTCCTTCACCCTTCCTCTCCTTTACTGCCACACTTAATGCAGAACAACAGACAGGAACACCAGGCAAAAGAAGGTGATGTAACCACTGTCCAAACATGCAAGTTTGGGCTTAGGAAAAGTAAACCTCACCTGGAGTCGAATCTGACAAAGGATGTAAGTGGAAACAAGAAAAGTTCCTACAGGTACCATAGCAGGACAACTAGGGAAAACGTGGGCCTGCTGAGAAAGGGAGCAGGAGTCCTTTGACAAAGGACATAGAAAAGACTGAGGCACTGCAGCCTTTACTGCTGTATTGGGTTTGCGTGGCAGGGTATTGGGGGAAGTGGGGGGGAGGCTACTAAAACCCTGCCATGAAAGTGGGATGGTGGCTTCTGCAAGAAGCTTCTCCCATGTCCCATAGAGCCAATGCCAGTCTGTGTCAAGACAGACCCACGCAGGCCAAGGACAAGTCCACCAGTAACGGTGGGAGCACCTCTGGGGTAATATAGCTAAGAAAGGGAAAGAAAAAACTGTGCAACTGCAGCTCATGATAGGAGCTGTGGTGGTTTAAGCCCTGCCGGTAACTCAGCACCACACAGCTGCTCGCTCAGCCCCCTACTTCCCCTTCCCCTCCAGGTGGGATGGGGAGTACAATTCAAAGAATGTAAACTCCACAGCTTGAGATAAGAACAGTCCAGTAACTAAAGTATAATACAAAACTACTACTGCTACTAATAACAGTAAGGGAAACAACCAGGTGGAGACAATAGGAAACTAAAAAGGGAAAGGAAAAACAACAATAAACCCAAGTGATGCACAATACAATTGTTCGCCACCCACCGACTGATACCCAGCCTGACCCAAGCAGCTATCTGGCCCTTCCAGGTAACTGCCCTCAGCTTATATAGTGGGCATAATGTCCTGTGGTATGGAATACCCCTTTGGCTAGTTTGGGCAGGGTCCCATCTCTGTTTCCTCCCAGCTTCTTGAGCTACTTCTCACTGGCAGAGCATGAGAAACTGAAAGGTCCTAAAGTTCCTTGGTCAGATTAAACATTACTTAGCAACAACCAAAACATCTGTGTGTTATCAGCAATATTCTCAGACTGAAGCCAAAACATAGTACTGTGCCAGCTACTAGGAGGGAGAAAAATAACTGTTAAGAGCTGAAACCAGGAGATGAGCATATGTGAGAGCAACAGCCCTGCAGACGCCAAGGTCAGTGCAGAAGGAGGGGAGGAGGTGCTCCAGGTGCTGGGGCAGAGATTCCCCTGCAGCTCATGGTGCAGACCATGGTGGGGCAGATGTGCCCCTGCAGCCCATGGAGGTCATGGTGGAGCAGATTCCACATGCAGCCCATGGAGGTGCACAGTGGAGCAGATATCCCTCTGCAGCCCATGCAGGACTCCGCACCAGAGCAGGGGGATGCCCAAAGGAGTCTGTGACCCCGTGGGCAGACTGTGCTGGAGCAGGCTTCTGGCAGTACCTGTGGCCCCATGGAGAGAGGAGCCCACACTGGAGCAGATTTGCTGTGCTTTCCCTGCACAGCCATGTCTGAGCAGAGTGAGCCAGAATGGACAGAGCCCAAGGTCCTGAAAATCCTGGGTGTGCAGCACTGGGTAGGGCCTGAAGCCACAACTTGGGATCCCCAGCACACCTCACCTGCTTGTGGGGCTGCAAGGAGTCAGGGTCCCCACAGCAGGAGCATGCAGAGCATCCCTGCACACTGGTCAGTGCCCAGGGGCAGTATAACTCCATCTTGAGGGTGAGCTGGAGCTGGGGTCCTCTCATCTGGATAAGGAGGTAGAATATCCTCCCTCGCTTGCTGCTCAGGGCTCTAGTGCCACTGTCCCAGCACAGAGGCTGATGTTGAAGTGACAAAAGGATGAAGGACTGATGAAGGGACCTCTGCCAGCATGGCACAGAGCCCTTTGCATCCTGGAGAAAGGATGAAGGCAGCATAGCCTTTGCAATCCAAGAATAAGCCTCCTACCTTCCCTACCCATCATCCTGGCCTAATGCCTCATATCACCAGCCTCTCTTTGGGGTAGGGGGAGCTGGGATGGAAGGAGACACTGCAGATTGTACTCGTGTTCCTATGTTTCTACAGCTGATGTAGAGAATGTGTTTAACGCTATCCTCCCTGCACCCAGCTCCCAAAGACCAAGTCCTTGTGGCTGTCACTTCACTTCTTCCAACAACAAATATCACAGAGGTTTTTTCCTGAAGCTGCCAAGAGATTCTGGAGTAGAATACAGAGATCCCTGCAGCACTCCTCAGACCTCTGCTTACCAGGCCGCAGTGGGCAACCAGCACAAGCTTTTTCAGGCTGGACAGTGTTTCCTAGACAGCTTCTGCCCATTGAGATGTGCAGCCCTAGCACTGGGAGTACTATCTCATGAAAGAATATGCAGTGCTTTGTAGGAAATAGAGTAAAATGCATTCATTTGCTTCGTGTTTCCTCACTGGTGGCATAAACAGAGGAAGCTGCTCCTCTACCTGTCTAAGCAGGATAACACAACTGCAAGAGATACAGCAAGG